CCGGGGCCAGGCGGAGCCAGCGGGCCCGAGGGCCCTCGCTCAGTCCCGAGCCGCCGGGGCTCTCGCCGCCGCCGCCCACACAGCTCGTGCCCCGCATCGCCGCAGCCCACTCGGCCCCGCTGCGCGTCCTCCACAAGCCCCGCCCCCGCAGGGTGCCCGCCCCCCCGCGTTTGACCACGCCCCCTCCTGCCTCGAGCCAACCGCTATCCAACTAAGGCGTCCTAACCCGGCCCCCTCCGCCCCGCCCCTGAATGTAGCTCCGCCCTCCGGTTTTTCTCTCCCTGTCTAAAGTGGGTCAACTTTCCGGCCTCGGACCTCACCCAAGCACCTAGCTCCGCCTCCTTCCCACCCCCTTTCCAGGTCAACCTCGCCTCGTGCTTTAGCCCCACTCTGTCTCAGACCTAAGTGCCCTTTCTTCCAATCGGACTATCAGCTCCAGCCTCCGAACCTGGTCCTCTTTCCCTTCCAGCTTTCCCACTCCGTCTAGCCCTTGACTCCAGCACGGCTTTCGGACCACACCCCTAACGGGGGTCCTGCCCAATACCAGCACAGGGAGGCCCCATCCAGCCCTGCAGCGTAGGCCTAGCCACGCCCCTAACCCAACTCCACCCACCTAAATTCGGGCCCCTCCCGGGCAGCCTGACCCCGCCCCCTAGGGCACCTGCTTCCCCTCTACAGCGAGCCGAGGCTCAGGTGTCCTGAAGTCTGACCTCGAGCCGAGGGTCCAGCCCCTCCCTTCACCTTGACCACGCCCCTCCCCAGCAACTCCGCCACCTCCTACGTCTCCCTCTCCCTCGAGCCGTGGGGTCCCGAGTGGGCTCCTGGGTGGAGAACACAGCCTGGAGATCCAGAAATTTCCCCTTCTGCCGCCCCCTCCCCATCACAACGGGGCGCTTCAGTCCCCGCCCAGCCGCGGCTTCAGGAGCTTGGGGAGGCCTGCGAGGAGGGAGGGACGAGGAATCAGGGGCGGGAGAAGGAAAACCCTTCCGTCCCGCCTCTTCCGCCACACAAAAGCCCGCCAAGCACAGCGCCCAGCCCGCCCCGCCAGAAACACGGCCCAGAGGTTAGCGGAAGCACTGCGTTTAATAGAGACGGCCAGCCGGGTTAGCTCAAGTCCTGCGGAAGTCACCGGCCAAGGCCAGGCATAAAGTCCTGGGGCCGGGGCCTCGGCCCAGGGCTGCCCCGCCCCGTGGCCTCCAGGGTGGGCTAATCTGGAGGCGTCTCGCCGGCCCGTGTGGCACGGCGTCCCCCAGGTGTGGCGCCCGGAAGAGTCCTTACTGCGCTTAGCCTCGTGACCAGGCCTCGGCGCCCACCGACCCCGGTAACCCCGTGCAGGTGACCCGCTCCTGGCCCAGCGAGGCGGAAGCGGAGGAGCAGCGAGGCGAGGCCAAGGTTAGTGCGCGCGGCTGGCCGCGGTCAGCGGGCGGCCCCCGGGGGCGGGGCGGCCGCCACCACCTTGCAGAAACGCACCCTCTGGAAGTCGGTGATCTCCGCTGTCTCCTGGCCCTGGGGAGCCGCCTCTGCGGAGAGAAGGCGCAGTCAGACGAGGGGCACAGCCCGCCCGCCGCCCCCGTCACGCCCATCCCCTCCTCCCGTCGCCGGGCAGGTTCCTAGCCTGGGGCGTATTCCTGTGCCCCTCAGGGTACCCCCACAGCTGCACATACCCAGGCACAACCTGCAGAATCAGAGAAGCGCTCGTGTCGCCAGATCACAGCCACCAAGACAGCACTCGCCAAAGACAGCGCCCACTCGGCCCACCCGACCTTGCCAAGCCTGAGGCGGCGCCCTGCCCACCCCCGCACTCTAACCAGCCCTCCCTCAGCTCCGCCCGGGGGCTGGCTCCTACTCAAAAGCGAAAAAGAAGGGGTTCAGCCCCTTGCTCCTACTCTGTGGGGCTCCAGTTCTAATCCACGCCCCCAGCCCTAATGCTCAAAGAACCCAGGGCCAGTGCATCCCACTGAGCCACTCACTCCCTACCCCATTCTTTTCCTCTTCAGAGCGCAGTTCAGTCTTTAGTCCCTGCTTAGCCCGCAGGCCGGCGCCCTGTCCACCTTCCCTCAGCCCTGGGGTCCAGCCTTGCCCCTACCCCTCCAGTCACCTCCTCCCCTGCACCACCCACACAATCCCCCCCAGCATGCCCAGCGCTCTGCCCAGGCCACCCCTCGGTCCTGCGTCATCCCAGCTGCCCAAGCCCTCGGCCACAGTCCCGAGCAGGAGCCTGGCAGGCCAAGCACCTCCACCGCCCAGTACCCCCGACCTGGAGTTGCCTCAGACCCCTCCTCTTCCGCTTTCTGGGTTCCTGGGAGGCCGGGCCTACTCTCCAGGGAGGCGGGGGCTGGCTGGTCACCTCCTGGGGAAGGGGAGGCCCAGTCAAGCCCCTGCCCCTCCAAGTAGCTCCCCACCCCTGGAGAAAGCCCAGGGACAGAGGGGACTTAAGGACACACTTGGGGGACTGTCACTTGAGAATATGAATTCTTTATTCGGGGAAGGCTCTGAATGACCTGGGGCAGGCTCTGGGAGTGGGCATTCCAGGGATTCAGAGCACGACAGGGGACACCAACTGCCCTCCCCAGCCTCCAGGGCTGTGGGGCACAGGGTCCCCAGGACCCACCATACCCTCGTACATACACACAGGCAGCCAGCATCATGCATTCCCAAAAGGCCAGGCCTCACCGGGAGAGAGGGCGCCAGCTGGCTGGGCTGTCCCGGGAGAATTCAGCTCCATCTCCTCACCCCAGTCCGACACGGGCTGGTGGCCGCCAGGTGGCGAGAAGGGGCTGGAGGGCACTTCCTTGGCCGGCTCCCTGGGAGGGCTCCCAGCGGGCTCAGCCTCATGGCCTCGGTGCTCTTGGGCTGGCTCTTCCTCTGGCTCTTCCTCCTGTTCTGGGGCACCTTCTTCCTCTTCGATGTCCTCTTCCTCCTCCTCCTGCTCCTCGTCCTCGGTCACCTCCTCACTCACATCCTCCCATTCCTCGTCCTCCTCCCCCTCGTCCTCAGGAGGCCGGTGGGCAGGGGCCGGGGTCTCTGGAGGCTGGAGGTGCAAAGGCGGGTCAGCGGAGGGTACGGCCCTGGGCACCCTCACACTCTCCGCCCTGCCTACCTGCACTGGGGTCTCCTCCAGCTGTGAGGCCTCAGGGGCTGGGGACACTGCCTCCTCTTCCGTCTCCCAGCGGTCATCATGGTCACTGGAGGGCACAGAGGGTCGGGATGAGGGTTGGCTGGGAGTGGACAAGAGCAAGCTCTTCCTACCTCCTGATGCCCCAAGCATGCTGCACACAGGGGGACCGGACGTGAGTCCCCACGTCAGAGGACAAGACAGATAGAAGGCCCAGGCGGCAGAAGTAGAGATGGAGGCCAGGGGAGAAGGGAACAGGTTACGCCAAGATCTAGACCGGAACCCAAGTACCCAAGAGACACAGCCAAGGCAGACAGCTGCACCCGCACCCCAGAGACAGACAGAAGGACCCAGGACAGAGCCATACTGCCCCATGAGCAACAGCAAGGGGGAGGGCGCCCCACCTGTAGGCCCGGGGGGCTGCCTTGGGCTGGGGTCGGCTGCTCTTTCTTCGCCGACGGCTGCTGACCTCAGCTTTGTGCTTTGACAGGAATTCCCCAAAAGTGGGAGGTTTGGGGGGCCGCGCCCAGGCCCTGTCATCTCCTGGCAACAGAAGCCAGGAGTTGAGGGAAGAGGATGTCACACAATCTTCCTCCCCAGACCAGCACCCAGCCTGGGCTGCTGCTGTGCCCCAGTATGAGTGTAAGGCCACCACTCACCATAGTGATGGGATGGTTCCTGGACAGGGGCTGGGCCATCCTTGAACCTGAGAAGTGGGTGCACAGGTGGGCAGGGATGAGGGGGATGAGGGAGCGAGGGAGGGAACAGGGGAGGCCAGAACCAGAGATCAGATCCGAGGACAGCCAGCCCACCAGAGGGGTCACTAGCTATGACAGGACCAGCTGATGGGTGAGCAGCAAATTTAACATTGTAAGGGTAAACAGAAAGAAAAAGTAGAATTTGGCCCTCAAACTGCAAGTTGGGGTAAGTCACCCCAGACCCTGATAAAGGACATCCCTCGCAGCCTGGCTGCCCTCCCTTTCGGCCTCCTCCCGTCACACCCAGCTCCTGCCTCAGGGCCTCTGCACTGCAGCTCCAGAACATTCTCCAGACCTCCCGGTAGCTGCTTCTTTACATCCCTCAGGCTGCACTGAAGGCGTCCATTCTGGAACCCTGCACAAAATCCCTGCATCATTTAAGTCCAAGCTGGTAACGCCCAGGCCCGTCGCCTTCCTCTGCTCTATGACCTGAAATCCGAGCTACTCATTGCTCATCTTGCCCAGTAGACCCCGAGGTCCACAGGGGCAGGATCATTTCGTTCACGGCTGTACCCCACCGCCTGGAACCCTCCCTGAAGTGAATGAGCCTCAATAACTGTCACTGATGGAAGGAAACGCACCAGCGTGTTACACACGCCGCAGACTGCTTTTGAGACGCAACAGTTTCCTAGTTCTTAACACTAAAAACAACAGCCCGGCCTTAGAAGACCTTATCCTGTACCTACGTAAGACAGAATTCTCACAGCTGCGCTCATGATCCAAACAAAACGCTCCAGGCCACCAGACACACAGACAGAAGTCTTTTCTTTTACCAGAGCCAACAGGAAAAGGGCTACAGATGCCAGGCATGCTGCTGCAGGTCTGTGATCCCAGCACTGGAGGCCACGGCAGGAGCACTGCCATGAGTTGAGGCCAGCCTGGGCTACATAGCAAGACTCCCAAAAGGGCAATAGCTGTATGAAAACTTCGACACAGCAAAGGATGAGAAGGGGTAGCACCTAAAGCTGCCATTCACTGGCTCTTCCAGAACCTTCTACATGGCTATTGAAGTTGGTCCACACCACAACAAAACAATGATGCCCTTTAAGTTTGCATGTTTCCTGGGACTCAAAAAGGGACAGTCAAGGTTGAAGATGACAGTGACACAAGGTAAGATGTGGCAAGGCCTGGAGAGAAGCTCAGGGATCTGGGTTGGAGTGGGCAAGTCAGAGGGATACACAGGGAGGCTGCAAAGGCCCCATCACTGCTGGTGACCTGTTCATAGCCTTGCGGTCATGGGGCCATCCTGAAACAGGAGGAATCACAGCCCACTTCCCGCCCAGCTGAGGAACAGCTGGAATCTGCTCGCCCACTGTGCATCTGATGGCACCAGGACAGGGTCTCCCTGAGCAGCTGCCCCCTGGCCTGGACCTGCGATGCACACAGACCTAGGGTGAAAGCATCACTGCAGTGTTGAGCGGCGAGGACCAAGCTCTGCAGCCCGGCAGCGTGCAGCAGAGGGGCTGACCAAGGCAGCCTGCAGGGATGGGCAGCTGCGGGTTACGCCACCTCCCACACCTGTAACCCTGTTACTAGGCCAAAGAGCAGGGCACCTGAGCTCTCTCTGCATCAAGGGGCCAAGCTGGTGCAACCACAGCTCAGTGTCCAGCCCGGCAGACCAGGCTTGTGGCACGGGAACCCTCTCCCAGGGCTCCGGGCCCCACACACAAGCAGCCCTCACCGACACCCAGCGGGGAGGAGAGGCAGGCGCAGGCCAGAGACAGGGCCGGGGGGACTCACATGCCCTCGGTCTTCTCCGCATCCCACTCCCGTCGCCACTGGCCAGTGGGCTTGCGGTGTCGCTGCAGCCGCTCCTGGTCGATCTTCTCCCTCTCCTGCTTCCAGCGCAGGTACTCCGACCGCTCCCGGCCCGTCATGGATATCGTCATGTCACCAGCACCGCCCGGGCTGGCACGGCGACCCTGCGCCAGCCACACAGTTAGGGTCCTGTTCCCTGCATGGCAGCCCTGCCCCCGAAATGCAGAGGGGGCCACTGGCTCAAGGTCACACTGGGAGGTGGTGACAAGCAGCTGGGTTCAGAGAGCCCCTCTCTTCAGCTGCATCCCCTAGCTCATCATCCTAGGCTCTCCTGGTGACACTTGGGTCACCTGACCACTTACTAGATTTTCACCCACCTGGCTCCCACAAGAAACTGTCAGGGAAGGGTTGGCCTACCAACTCTTATTCCCAGCACCTAGAACAGTGCCTGGGTCCTGGTGGTGTGACCCAGGTGTGGTGGTGCACCCCTATAAGCCCAGCACTCAGGAGGCTGACGCAGGAGGATCATTGTGAGACCAGCCTGGGCTACAAAGTGAGTTCAAGGCCAGCCTGAATTGCATAGCGACTGTCTCAAAAAGACCAAAATAAATAAATAAAACAAACCCAGGTTTGTTGACACATGTCTGTAATCCTAACTACTTGGGAGGGTGAGGCAGGAAGATTCTAAATTCAAGCCCATCCAGAGTAATTTAGCAACTTTGTAAGACCTTGTCTCAAAGCGCAAAGGGTAGCTCAGTGCAAAGGTCCTGGGTTTAATACCAAATACCACAGTAATAATGAGAACACTGATCCCCACACAAAATGCCAGAACTGGTCTGTCCTAGTCCCCAGTGAGCCTGGCGGTCTGCCCTCAGTCCACAAGAAGACCAAGTAGAGACCCAGCTGCCAGCACACACCTGCCGCTCGTGCTCGAGGCCACAGCGCACCCGCTCGAAGTCGGTGCCCCCCCAGTTGCGCCCGTGCCGGCGGCTGCCCTCCCGGCGGTCCCGCTCAGGCTCCTCCAAGGGCCCACTGCGTCGCCGGGGGTCATCCAGGAAGTTTCGCACGGGATTAGGCTCTAACACCCCTTCCTGTGGGCACAGGGCAGGGTTAGCAGGGCCCCCAGGCCTGGAAGGCTGTACCCTCCGCACGCCGCCTGGGGTACTGACCCGCTGGTTGCGCTCATACTCCGCAATCTTCTCCATCTCTTCGTTCATCTTCTCAATGTTCTGTCTACGCCGTTCCTCCCACTCCTGGGGGGACAAAAGCACAACCCCCAATGCTGGGAAGAAACGTTCTACCGGCCGTGTAGAAAACATTAACAGAGAAGGAAAACATGCAAACAAAACTTTGTAAATGGGGAGGGGTTTAAGGGAGGGTAAGGGGATGGGAAAAAATAGTCACATCATGTGCAGGTACAAATTCTCTGTGATGAATGTGATCGTTATAAATACCTAGAATGTATCAATAAAATCTAATTTTAAAAAAGAATAAACAGACACAAAAGGAAAGATACTAGAAAGGGCTTGAAAGTGAAAAAAGGGCAAGGGATATAGCTCAGTGGCATAAGCACCTGCCTGGCAAGCGCAAGGTCCTGAGTTCAAGTCCCGGTACCAAAAAAAAAGTGAAAAAAAACAAAAGTGACACAGGAGGTAGAACCATTCTCAAACAAGCAGGTGGCAGGTGGCAGGCACCTGGCTGGCACTGGACACTGTTCTGCGTCCCCAGTACAACATTACCGAGGAGCACCGAGCCCTGTGCCCCGACCATGACAACAGTAGTAGACACTTTCCTCCAGAGTCGGGGGCTGGGGATACAGCTCAGTGGCATAAGCACCTGCCTGGCAAGCAACGGTCCTGAGTTTGATTCCCAGTACAAAAAAAAAAAACAGTCGGGAATGCTGGAGTGTCTTACGGAGGGGCCCAGCCTCCAGTAAGAAGGGCACTGCAGATCACCTGGCACTGCACATCCAAGGCACTGCACATCACCTGGGCATCCTGACAGACACATGGGCACAGCTCATGGCTAGAGGACTGAGCACACCCCCGAGTCTGAGAACTTGAGTCTGACCCCCCACGCTCTTACACCTTTCCCCTTGCTGATTTTGCTGTCTTCCTTCACTGTGATAAAGCTGAACCCTAGCCGGGCGTGGTGGCACACGCCTGTAATCCCAGCACTCGGGAGACTGAGGCAGGAGGGGCCTTGTGAGTTCGAGACCAGCCTGGGGTACATAGTGAGCTCGAGGCCAGCCTGAACTGCATAGTGAGACCCTATCCCAAAAAGACAAAAAAAAAAAAAGCTGAACCCTGAGTCTGAGCCTTTCCAGCAAATCACTATAGCTGGAAGAGACCTGGTTGCCACTTACAATGATGGTGATAACTGTAGTAACTTGGCAGGTAGCTAGTACCCCACAACCTGTTCTTCCCTCTCCATGGTAATAAAATTTTAGATCAGCACATAGCTGGAAAGGACATTTTCACTCCCCAGCGTCCTGTGTGGGTGGGCGTGGCCAGGTATCTCAGTACTCACTGACAGGACAAGGATATGAAGCCAAACACGGACTGCTTTCCTGTCCTGTGAACTGGCCCTCAACTGTGCTGGCGGCCCACCTTTACAAAGCAGTAAGGGAACTGAGAGAGCATCAGGCAACCCAGGCCTCAGGGTGGCGTCACGGGGCAAGGCCGCCTACCCACACCACCCACCTCACTGTGGCTCAGCGGGTAAGAGCGATAAATTTTCTCTTTGTAGGCCACGCACTCCGGGGCCTTTTGGTCAGAGCACGCCATTTGCTGTGTGCCCGCTGTGTACAGAATCCTCGCAATGATGTGCAAGTAATCAGCACGGGCGGTGAGATGCCCGAGCACAGCTAATTACAGAACCAACCTGGACCCAAGGCACCGCGGGCCGTGGGCAACTCAGCTAGACAGCCTCTGCCAGCTGACCTGCGGGCCAGAGACGGAGAGCAGTTACAGCAAGCCCGCTGCTCCCCGCAGACCTGGATACTGAGACAGCAGTGACACACAGGGAACCAGTACAGAGCCCCAACCCAGAGCGCACCAGACAGACAGAGCCAGCAGCAGCGAGACGGGGAGAGAGGACAAGCACAGCAGCATGGTCAGAGTGTGAGAAAGAAGCAAGCAGAAGAAGAGGAAAAAAAGGACACAGACACACCCCACCAGCCAGGAGGGGGAAGGCGGAAGTCTGCAGACAGGACCCCAGATGGAGGCCAGTGAACGGCCCACTGGAGCGCACGAAAGAAAGGAACCAGGAAGCTGGACCTTCCACCAGAGCCGTGTGCCCGCCTGGCTCCTACCTTGGATTTTCTGTCGGAGGCTGAGCTGTCACCGGCTCCTGAGAGATGAGGGGACCCTCGGCCCCGGCCCCTCCGGCCCCGGCCCCCAGCTCCTGCTCGAGGCTGCTCCCCAGGACTGTCCTCCCAACTTCGAGGTACCCGGCCCACACCTGCCCGGCCTCCCTGCTGCGGGACAGTCCGACCCCCTCTGCTAGCCCCTGGGGGCCGAGGGGTCCCAGGAGACCTCCGGGAAGGTCCCACGTTCTTCTCCTGGAAGTGGGAGCAGGGAGAAAGACAGTGACTAGGCAGGAAGCCTGGGACACCCAGGCCCCCAGAAGGCGGCAGCCAAGACCGAGGCCATAGGTCTGGGGTGGCCAGAAGGCTCCTAGGTCCCAGGCCTCAAGCCCTCCCCTTCATCCCCTCTTAGGAGTCCTGCACCCCAGTGATGAACTCAGCACCTCAACCACCATGTTCTCCTTCTCCACCATGCGGCCCTTCCGGGGTGCTGTCACCGCTACCCCTTCCAGTTCGGCTTTTTTACGGTCCTCCTCGATCTCCTAGGAGCAAACAACAGGTGCAGGGGTGTCAGGGACCTGTGCACCAGCTGGACCCGCACAGCCCTCTGAATTCCTCCTCAGTCTGGCTCCAGTGCTGGCTTCTCTCCAAAAGTCTACAGAAGAAGCCGCTGATTTCAGTGTCATCCGTGAAACCCCATCACGTTGTTCCTGCTTAGAACCCTCCCTACGTCCACCTCTGAGGATGGGATAGGGGCTTCCCCACAGCCCCTGCAGGAGAGCACCTCGTCTCCTCGCCTCCCCGACACACATCTCCACCTCTTCCCCTCTCACCCACCTTCCTGCTGGTCTCAAAACACTCAGGGCTCAGATCCGCCTCAGGGCCTTTGCACCAGCTGTTCCCTCAGCCCGGAACCCTCTGGGTCCCTTCACCAGCAACTCCTCAGGTTTCTGTTCCCTGAGCCCCTGCAGCACCCAGCTCTCCCATCGCCCTCTGTTCTCCTCACACACTCACTAGAGAACAGGACTATCCGCCTGCGTGTTCACTGATGTGAAGCCTCAACCCTCGAACACTGCCTAGCACACAAAAAGCCTTTTTGTTTTTTTAAACAACAAATGAACGCATGAGGGATGAACAGATGAAACCCACTCCTTCCAGGCCCATCCCTGAGGAAGCCCCACCACCTGCTTGCAGGCCTGGTCCCGGCTCCTTCCTCTGTTCACGCCCTACTGCTCTCTGTCACCGAGACCCTCTCAGCAGCCCAGCCCTGCACCAGGACCTCCTCCTCCCCTAGCTCCCTGCGACACTTCCTTCTTGGTCTCTGGACTGCAGTATCGCCTCCTCCCATCCGCTAGCACACAGAGGCCAGAGAGGTCTCCCTAAAAAGCTATCTGGCCTGGTCCCACTCCTCCTCACAGCCCTCCATGGCTCCCCAGTTCCCTTAGGAAAGACTCCAAACTCTCCGCCCAGTGGCATTTAGGGCCTGCCTGGTCTGGTCCCTGCCGCCCCAAACTGAAGCTCCAAGCCCTCACCTACATGCAGATATTTGTCCAACCTGTTCCCTCTGCTGAAGCACAACCCCTCTCCTTTTCAACGGGATGCTGTCTGCTCAGGCCTGAGTCCCCTCCTCCAGGAAGCCCTCTCTAACACCCCTGAGCTAGGTCTGCCCACCCCCTTCACAGTTCCCTGCGTTCCCCCAAACTATCCCTGTCCAGGCTGGGCTGTGGAACAGTCCCCTAATGAGACTGGGAGCCTGGAAGGCCAGGCCTACAGCTGTCTCAGTCATGGCTGTGTCCCCAGTACCACTCAACACAGGGCTTGCTACAGTGAAAAGCTCTGTATGTGTGATAAATGGCTGAATGATGGGATGAAGGAAGGAATGCAGGCCAAGGCCTCTGACTTTTATCCTAAGAGTGATGGGGAGCCATGAAAAAATTGTAAAGAAGGGAGAGGTGAGAAAAACTCACTGCGGGGAGGAGAGGGGATGGGGTCTCCCTGGGCAGGGCTAGGGCACCTGGTAGCGCCGGATGAGGGCCTCGTTCTTCCTCCGGAGAGCCTCGATCCTCTTGTCCAGCTCAGCATCTTTCTCCTCCTTTGATTTCAAATCCAGTGTGGCTGCCTGAAATGAGGACGCAGTCGAAGGATGGAAAGAAAAACCTCCACCCATCCCAGAGCCATCAGCCTAGGCTCCCGGGGTCTGCCCTGTGGACCCCATCCTCCCAAGCCCCTTCCCCAAACTCAGATTCCAAGCACCCACTTTTGGTCTCACCATTTCTCTGGCTGTGGCCAGGGTCTCAGCAACCTCCCTGACACAATCTGGATGCAGGACTGGGGGCTCCTGCAGACGGAGGGAACAGCAGAAATAAGGGCAAAAGGACCTGTAGTCTACTTCATCTCCTCAAAACATGGAGAGCTCTTGACAAAGATGCACCAAAAACCACCTGCACCCCAAGAGAATTTTAGCCCTCACCCCCATCGCTCTTCAAGTGCTAGCCCCACGCACCTCTTTCCTGTAAAAATACAGACTCTGCCCCCTTGGTTTCTGGACTCCAGCCTTTTAGTGAGACACACCTAGGGCATGTTCCAGCCCACACCACTGGCCACTCTTAAGGAAATAACCAACGATCTCCTACCAAACCAAGATTCTAGCCTAGCCTCCACAGCCTGTGATGGGAATTCGAGCCCAGACCCGCATCTCCAGAGCTGCACCTGTATCTCCTCCTCTCAACCTGCACCTCCCCTGTGCCCATTCTGCTGCCATTCACACCCCAGTGAACGGGGCTGGGGATTTAGCTCGGCCACACACCGCCTGCCTGGAAAGCGCAAGGTCGTGAGTTCGATTCCTGGTACCGGAACAACAAAACAAAACAAAAAAACCCAGCAACCCCCAGTGAACATTTCAGCTCCACCAGGCAAACTTCTGAAGCGTTCCCTAACCCACAGTCCACAAAAGCTCCAGCTCAAACTCGCAAAGAACATAAACCCACAGCTCCCTTGAGCATGCCCTAGACGGGCCCCTGCATCCTGAGAAAGGTACAGTCGTCTCATACTACGCCCAAAACGACTGGGCAAGCTTCCTAAACTGGGGTTGACCTCGCAGCTAAACCACCACTGCAGCGCGGACAAAACTTCATCGGCCAGCCCTCAGCTTTCCAGCTCCCCGCAGGCTGAGATCGCCACGGCCCTGCCCCTGACATGCAGAGGTCGCTCCAGCCCATTTCCTGGCTAGGACAGAACTTTCTGACCCCGCCTTTCCCGTCAGACTCACGCCTAACTCGTCTGACCTGGTTTCCAACTTCCCAGACACCCCTCCGGCCGCGCCCCAGCCCCTCGCTCCCCGGCGCAGCCTGAGCCACTATCCTATCGTTATTCCAGCCCCGCCCCCGGCTTCCCCAAACCAGCGGTTTGGCCCCGCCCCAACCAGGCAAGCCAACCTCTGGCCACACCCCCAGGCACGCGCCTCCGCCCGGTGCGTCCCATCTGGCCCCGCCCCCAGCCGACCCACCTGAGGCCCTGGCTCCACCCCCGGCTGGCCCGCCAATGGCCGGGCGGCAAAACTTTCCGGCTCCACCCCCATTGCGGTCCCCGCCGCGGACCTGGCCCCGCCTCCCGCCTCATTGAGGCCCCGCCCCGGCCCGTCCGCCTTTGGGCCCGCCCCTAATTTGCCAAAAACGGTTCGGGACCCACTTCCAGTCAGGAAAAACTTTCTGGCCCCGCCCCCGCAGGGCGCAGCCAGCGTCCAGGCCCCGCCCCGGCCCGCCGAGTCCCAGCAAGGCCCCGCCCCCAGCAGGGCACAACTTCCCGGTCTCGCCTTCAGCCGCCCGCCGGCCCCGAAGGCCCGCCCGCAGCCGGGCCCGCCCCGGGCCGCCCACACACTCGCGTCCCGCCCCGCCAGCGCCTCTCCAGCTTCCCATGTGGGCGTCCCGATCCCGCCCCCCGCAGAGTCTTCTGACCCCGCCCCCGCCGGCTGCTCGCCACCCCGCCCGCGCGTGCTCCCGCTCCCCTCACGTGGGGCTCCAGGGCCCGCCCTCTCCGGGCGCGCTCCCGGCCCCCTCCCCCAGTCACCTGTCCCGGAGACCCCGCGGCGTCGGCGACTCCGGCTCCGTCGGCCTCCGAGTCCGCAGCTCCCGGGCCGCGTGCGTCACTTCCCACCCGCACCACGTGAGGAGGGGAAATATAGAAGGTCACTTCCGGTCCCTACGGCTCGTTTCCGGGAGCCTTAAAGGGGCCGCGCCATCACCCTCGGGCGGAAGCCGGAGCTAGTCGAGCTGGTCCCCAGGGATGTTAGGGACGCTCTTTCCTTCTGCCTGGATTCTGTCCTTCGCGGGCAGAGAGACGTCATTCTCTTTCTGTGGCCTCTCCTTCTTTGTTCAGGCTGTTGTGCCTCCAGCCACTCAAAAGTGGGTGCCACACACTGGGCACTGAAGCCTAGAAACTTAACCTGACTGCTCCTCCTGCCAGGGAAACAGAGTTTAGAAGTAGAAACAGTAGCGTTTAGAAGCCTACAGATTGCAGCCGATCCAGTGCTTCGTTTAGTTCTCTGAGTCTAAACAGAGTGTCAGGCTCTGTGCCTGACAGATGTCCGGGGAAGTCAGAGTGGTGAGCTAGGGAGGCCCTATCCCTGCCCTCGAGAACGCAGACACGAAATGCAGCCCTAGAAGGGAAGGGCTGGAGTCCAGGCAGAGGACGCTGCCTGTGCAAAGGCCCTGTGGTGAGTGTCCCTAGTGCGTTGCAGGGGCCAGAAAGCACCAGCCAGGTGGCAGCTGCACGGTGGCCACAATTTCCAGGGACTGACCGGCACCCAGACACACAGGTGGCCACCAGCAGTGATAGGCAGCCTGGAACTGCTCCCAGAAGGTGCTGACGTTCCCTGTGCTGCCCGTAGTTTCATTTTATGATTTAAAACATGGACAGTGGAAGGACCTAATAACCCATTGCCCTTTGTATGGCCATTGTTCCCGGCTTTTCAGAGACTGCCTACACATACAAGTTAGTTCTCTTGGAATTGCGTGACACTGGACACCTGCCCAGGTCACACGGCACTATTTATTCACCTGCCACCTCCTCACGGAGGCCCCTGGGGAACCACTCTGAAAACAGCACAAAACCCCCGCAAGGGTCGGCCACGAACTTAGCATTTGCAAGGCCTTCAGGGTGAGCAGTACCAAACGTGCGCGCGCACGCGCGCGCGTGCACACACACACACACACACAGTTGTTGAATGATGTGGGGTCTAATGACACACAGCTATAATCTCAGTATTGTGGGAGGCTGAGGCAGGAGGATCAAAAATTCACGAACCCATGTCTCACAAACATAAAGGGCTGGGGATGTAGCTCAGTAGGAAAGCCCTGGGCTCAGTCCCCAGTACTAAAAAGAACTTGTTGAATGAATGCGTGTTGTGTTTTGCTTGGATGGGGAAGTTGGTGGGGATTGAACACAAGTGCTCTACCACTGAATTCCATTTCTGGGCCTTTTCATGCTTTTATTTTCTTTTTTGTGTTTTGGGGTTTTTTTGTTCCGGCAATCAAATCCAGGATCTTGCGCTTGCCAGGCAAGTGCTGTGCCACTGAGCTATATCCCTGGCCCAAGCTTTTATTTTGAAACAGGATCTTATTAAATTGCCCTGCTGACCTCGAATTTGAGGTCTTCCTGCCTCAGCCTCCTGAGTAGCTGAGATTACAGATGTGTGCCAAAGCGCCCAGCCATGAATATGACTTTATTACTATTTTCTTACCGTTGTATGGAACAAAATGTATATTCAGTTGCCATTCTGTATCTGTGGGTTCCACATCAATGGATGCAACCAATTGGTTTATTTCTGTTTTTGTTTTCTTTCCTGGTACTTGTGGTTGAACCCAGGGCACACTGAGCTACACTCCCAGCTCTTTTTTATTATTATTTTTAGTTTTGAAACAGGATCTGGCTAAGTCACTAAATCACCTTGCCTGAACTCAAACCGCCATCCTCCTGCCTCAGCCTCCCAGAGTTCTGGGGTTACAGGCCTGCACAACCATATCTGGCCAATAAATAATGTTTAAAATTAAAAAAAAAAAAGAGCCAGGCGTGGCCCTGCACACCTGTAATCCCAGCACTCAGGAAGCTGAGGCAGGAGGATCCCAAGTTCAAGAACTGCATGGGCCACTGAGCAAATTGTTGAAGACCAGCCTACGACATCGAGAGACTCTGTCTGGGAAAAAAAAGTTCAAAAAGTAATCATAAAAATACTTTGTGTGCCGGGCGTGGTGGCACACGCCTGTAATCCCAGCACTCGGGAGGCTGAGGCAGGGGGATCACTGCGAGTTCAAGGCCAGCCTGGGCTGCAGAGTGAGCTCAAGGCCAGCCTGAACTGCATATCGAGACCCTGTCTCAAAAAGATAAAACAAAAACAAAATTGCTTTGTGTTTAAACGTGCAGTGGGGTTAAATTCTGTGGCGAGTACGTAGCTGCTAACAGGCTAAGGGAACTCCGGAAGTGCCCGTAGGCAGTTTGACAGCCCGTGGGCGATGTTTCCCACTCACCACCAGGGGGCGGGGCGGCGTCCACTGAGTTTGAGAAGCCGGCGGACATTCGTTCAACAAAGCGCTTTGGGCAACCATGAAAACCGACTCTCAGAGGCCCTCCTGGTTATGGGACCTGTAAAATGAGAATTATTCTCTGGCTGCTGCCATGGAGCTCACTTTCTCCAGGATCAGCAGACGCTAAATAATTAAATGGGAGCCGGAATCCCTGCTCTCGAAAGCTGAGGCAGGAGGATCACTCTGAGTTCGAGCCCAGCCTGGGCTTGGTAGTAAGTCCAACTTCGGGGGCGGGGGGCGGGAGAGGCAGGGAGGCAAACCCAGGGGCCTGCCTGGAAGAGGAGGCACAGGGTGCACTGCTTGCAAGCCTCCCCTAATGAGGACTGAATGACTAATTTTATGATTGCTTCTTTTTTTAGTACCAGGAATCGAACTCAGGACCTTGCTCTTGCCAGACGCTGTGCCACTGAGCTACAGCCTTCTCTGGTTTTTACTGTAGTATCACCAGCCCTTCAAGAGGGTCTGTACTTCGGGGGCAGATGCCTGTACATAATCCCAGTACTCTGGAGGCTGAGGCAGGAGCATCACAATTCAAGCCCAGCCTGGGAGACTTAGTGACTTAGCAAGACCCTATCTCAACATTTTTTTTTATTTTAAAATTGGATGTAACTCAGTCCAAAGGCCCTGGGTTCAATTCCTACTACCAAAAGGGGAGTGCTGAGGGGTGTAGCTCAGTTCTCCAACTCCCTGGTTCAACCCTTAATGCCACCCAAAAGCACAAAACAAAAAAACACTCCCCCAAACACTTTTGCCTCACTTTATTACATGCATTGTCTCATCAGCTCACCCTAAAAGCCCCCCAAACAACCATGTTTCTGATCCCCATTTGTTTACTATGGTACTGTGGATTGAACCCAGGGCCTTCACGCTGAGCTATACGCCCGCCCTGTTTTGTTGTTTTTTGAGACAGGGTCTTACTATGTCACTAAAGTGTCCAGGCTAGGATTGAACACCATCATTCAGCCTGTTTCGCAGAGTGCTAGGATTATTTATTTATTTTTACTTAAAATTTTTGTTTTGTTTTGTTGTTGGTTTTTGAGACTGAGTCACACTATGCAGTTCAGGCTGGCCTTGAAATGGTGATGATCCCCTGCCTGAGCCTCCCAAGTGCTTGGATTACAAGTGTGTGCCGCCATACCTGGCCCTAAAGTTTTTTCAATTTTATTTATTTACCGTACTTACTTTTGTAGTGCTGGGGGTGGAACACGGGACCTCATGTACGTTGGGTAAGAGAGCTTTATCACGGAGCTACACCCCACCCTCTCTTCTCCCATTTAACATGATTTGTTTTGTTTTATTTTGTTTGTTTGGTTTGGTTTTTTTTTTTTTTTGTCTTTTTGAGACAGCGTCTCACTATGCGGTTCAGGCTGGCCTTGAGTTCACTTTGTAGCCTAGGCCGGCCTCGAACTCGCAACGATCCTCCTGTGGTATCACCAGCCCTTCATAGGGTCTGTACTTCAGGGGCA